AAAAAAAAAAAAAAAAAAAAAAAGAAAGAAAGTAAAGTATGTTATGAATGAAAACTTTGAAAGAGGAAACAATTTGGATTTGGTTTAAAAATGCTGAAGTAGGGAAGAAATATCTAGAAAGTTAGGTTTCAAGAAAATTAGACTGTTAATGACTGGCAGAATGAATAACACAGGAAGAATAAGATTGGTGACATCAACTAGAAAACCCTGTAAATAATGCACAAGTAAGGAAGTGAGAGTCAGAATTACAGGAGTGACAGTATTGAGGGGAAGGCTTGGTCAACTCCAAGACATTTCAATGCAGGAAACTGAAGTTGATGGCAAACTGGATTAGAGAATAAAGGAATTTCTAAAATTAGGATTATTTTAAGCTTCTAGCTCAGAAGAATGCTGACAACCCTGACTGAAATAACCAAATTGAAGATAAAGACACTTAGCTTTGAACATAACTGTATTTGAACTAATCAGCAAATTTCCAAGTAGAACCATTCTGCAGGCAGTTAGAAGCAGAGTACTGGGCCACAGTTCGATACAGCAGATACAGAGTTTTGAAGACATTACCAATTATGTGAATAACTGATGCCCTTTGAAGGAGGGAAGAGCATCATGACTTAATTTTCAAATAGTTGGCTGCTGTTCTCATAATGAAGAAAATAATCATCCATTAAATCTGAATGAAAACTAAGGAGAAATATGGGATGTGGCAGACACTGCAAGGTGCCTACTACTCAGTATCTATTTTCCCATTTTCACTCCTGAACTGAACTCTGATTAGAATGGCAATGTGTTCCCCTTAAAAATTACTTCCCAGACTCTTGTGCATGTCATAATTCTGAAGTGAATTTGTGGAAAAGCTTTTGCCTTCCTGATAGAGGCATCTCTTTCTTCTTTCTACTTAAAATGAGAATAAGGTGCAGTAAAGAGCAGTCACTTATAATCCTAGGAGGAAAGCCATATGGCAGAGCAGGAAGACAGGAGGAACCCAGGTCTCTGATGACATCCCTAAGTCATGGTACCAACCTTGAACTTGCCAGCCTCTGAACTTATTGTTGCATGAGAAAAATAAATCCCAATGGTTTTATGCCACTGTTAGTCAAGTTTTCTGTTGCCATTCAATGTATTCATA